TTTTTCTTTCTGCTTCTGTGTTTGTGTGTGTGTGTGTGTGTGTGTGTGTGTGTGTGTGTGTGTGTGTGTGTGAATCAGAGTAGTTTAATTTTCATTAATTATCTCTTGTCTTATACTCTACCACAAAACCAAAGAAGCTAAAAGTACTTTTCCCTTTCCGAAGCTCTGACATCTTTCTCATTCTGGGAGGGCCTCATTTCTTTCTTATATTTTACTTCGCTTCCACTAAGGATTGGGAGGGATGTGCATTTGAAAAAAATATTGATTGAGCTCTTTACAAGCAAGGATTTGGGGCTACTCTGGTGTCTGTGAAATCAGACCTGCTCAGATCTGAGGATAAAAGTCACAGTCTGAAGGTATAAGAGCTGGAGAACAGTGATAGTGTACTTTTTTATATGATTTTTAGAGACACATTAGCAAAATGGAGAGTGTAAATATCTAAAAAAATACTTATAATAATCTCATAACCACTCATGTGTTTGTGTTCCAGATGAGCCAAGACACAGATGAGAAGCGGACGAGGACACGCTCAAAAGGAATTAGAGGTGAGAGCCTCTTAAAAACTCGAAAAATATTTTTTGTCCATTTCAGTGAATTTGATGACTGACAGAGCTTTTATCTCTCTCCTTATATCAGTTCCTCTTGAGCTTGTCGGACAAGAATACAGGTGAGAGCTTTTATGCTTTGTAGTGTTACTCATCATGTTTATAAAGACCAGAGTTTAGTAGGTTAATGAATATAGCTAATCAAAACCCCTGTTTTGCAGCTGCCCTACGCCAGGATGCGATGGCTTAGGCCATGTCAGTGGAAAGTATGCACGACACAGAAGGTAAATAGTAAGAATTCTGTCTCTAATAGCTGCCAATAAAAAGATTTTACAAAATTAAGCAACTGAGTTTTTATCGAAACTTTTCATCTGTTTCAGTGCATTGGGCTGCCCATTGGCTAAGAAAAGAAAACTCCAGGAGGCTGTGGAGAATCAGCCAGCCCCCAAAAAGAAGCCAAACCCCCTAAAGCTGGCCATGGATGATGGGTTCAATGCAGACAGTGACACAAACAGTGAAACAGAAACAAAAGATGAGGGTGTGGAGTCTGAAGAGGACACTGCTGATGAAGAGATGGAAGCAAAAGAAAAAACACCTTCATCAGAAGCAATGACAGGTGGGTTAATAACCTATTAACTACAGAAATTATTTATTATTTTTGAAGTTATGTGCCATGCAGTGCATGTACTATAGTCTTTATGTATTTAAGCTTTATTATATCAGCAACTGTCACCCAAACATCACAGAAACATTTTTTTTTTTTCAAATTTAATTTAACAAAAAAATTTTAGTTTATAAATTGCCCTTTTTGTCTTTCCTTCAGACGAAATTTCACAAGTGGATTTAGAAGAGAAAAAGACACCTGTCAGAGAAACATCAAGTCCAGTTCCAGAGAATGAAATTGAGAATGAAGAAGCCAATATCGAGGCTACATCCATCCAACAAATCACCATGGATACTGAGGCAGAGGAGGGGCTACAGGTCGCAGAAGAGATTCAGGCTCGAGAGGAAGAGGTAGAGGAGGAAGCAGAAGAGATTTCAGAAGAGGAGCGAGTGACCCAGCAGCTAAAAGAGACCGACGAGCCTGTGACAACAGTTGAGGAAGAAGAAGAGGAGGAGGAGGAGGAGGAAGAAGAGGGGGAAGAGGAAACACAATGTTTGAGCCAGAAGAACAACACGGATCACCAGTACTTCAGTGGAGACTTTGGCAAAATCCAGACCAAAGAGATTGTGGAGACAGAGAAAGACAGTGCAGATGATGATGATGATGAGGAAGAAGACGAGGAGGAGATCCAATCCCAGGTAGAGCCTTCCTCCCTAATTGCCCCTGTCCCCGCTGCGTCAGCTCAGGAATTAGACGTGATGACACACAGCAACATAAACCTTGACCATCCTCTTGGTGAAGAGGAGGAGGAGGAGGAGGATGAAGAAGAAAGAGATGATGCTTCGGATAAAGACTCGCCCACTGTAGTCATCGAGCTGGGTTCAGATGGAGAGGAAGAAGAAGAAGAGGAAGAGGAAGATGACGGAGAAGAAGAGGAGGCCGATGAAGCAGACTATGACGAGTTGGACAGCATGTCACAGAGGTCAGAGGTCACAGATGACTCAGAGACGTACGACATGACACGGGGGAACCTGGGACTTCTCGAACAGGCCATTGCACTGAAAGCCAAACAAACCGGCCACAGTTCTGAAGAGAGCTGCTCTCCTGAGCAGCAGCGCTACCACAGCTCAGAAGAGAGGATGAATAAGACCATGGACATCACAGCTCGTAGAGCATACTATGGCAAAGGTGACAGAAAATTTCTGCCTATCTCTTATGACCCCAGTTAAATTTAGATAACATTATCATGCAGGTACAGTGTGTGGGGGTGTGGAGTTTAATTTGCTTTTGTCTTCTCACATAGAAGGTTCTAGATCAGAGAAGAAGGAAGTAAAGTGCCCTACTCCAGGATGTGATGGGGCAGGTCATGTGACTGGATTATACCCACACCACCGCAGCCTTTCTGGGTGCCCACACAAGGACAGAATCCCTCCAGAGAGTAAGCATTGTGTTGCACCATTACTATAGTATGTGACACACACTCACACATACACAGACACACACAAACATATATTCATATATATATTTTAAAAAACATGTTCAATTTAATATTAAGTTTTTGGTAAAAATTGTATTAAAATTTAAAATGCATGTACATATTTTATATAAAGGTTTAAAATGTATATATATTACTGTTTAAATGTTTGGGATCAGTAAGACTTTTTTAATGTCTCTTTTGCTTACCAAGGCTGCATTATTTGATCAAAAATACAGTAAAAACAGTAATATTGTGAAATATCATTACAATTTAAAATAACTGTTTTCTGTTTTAATATATTAATATATTCATATTTTAATGTAATTTATTCGAGTGATGGCAAAGCTGAATTTTCAGCATCATTACTCTACTCTTCAGTGTCACATGATCCTTCAGAAATCATTCTAGTATGTTGATTTGGTGCTTAAGAAACATTTCTTGTTATTATCTATGTTGAAAAGAGTTGTGCTGCTTAACATTTTTGTGTAAACCGTGGTACAATTTGTTTTTCAGGATTGTTTGATTAATAGAAAGTTTAAACGATTTATTTAAATTAAACATTTAACATTTAAAACATTAAATATTTATTTAAACATTACATTTATTTAAAAGTATTTTTAATAACATTATAAATGTCTTTACGGTCAATTTAAATGCATCCTTGCTGAATAAAAATATTAAATTATTTAAAAAACAACATTTGAAAGGTAGTATTTAATATTCAATATAATAATGTGTGTTTTTGGCACTAGTCTTGGCAATGCACGAGAATGTACTAAAGTGTCCAACATCTGGATGCACTGGACAGGGACATGTGAACAGCAACCGCAACACACATCGCAGGTACTGCTCCTTAACTATTTTTTGAGGTGTCAGTTTCTGTTCACATCAAGTTTCCCTAAAACCATGTATTTTTCTTACATTTGACACTTTTAGTCTCTCTGGCTGCCCTATTGCTGCTGCAGGGAAACACAAAAGCCATGAAAAGCAGTCACAGCCGCAGATCTCTGTGATTGATCCTGTGAGCGGAGGCTCAAACTCTGACAGAGTTCTCAGGTGAGTGTTTTCCTCCACTTTTCAACATCCTAGCTAAAACCTTAACAGACACAAAAGAGCTTGATGGGTAAACATTGTGACTAAACACTCTTTTCTCTACAGGCCGATGTGTTTTGTGAAACAGCTGGACATCCCTCAGTACGGTAGCTACAGGCCCAATGCCATGCCAGCCACTCCTCGTGCCAACCTGGCCAAGGAGCTGGAGAAGTATTCTAAGGTGTCCTTTGACTATGCAACCTTCGATGTACAGGTGTTCGGCAACCGCATGCTTGCACCCAAGATGCCCACCAGCGAAACCTCACCTAAAGCCTTCAAATGTAAGCACCCCCCTCATTCCCTTTAAAATAACGAATAAGAAACAAATACAACAGATATTAATAGATAATGAATTATTGATAGGATAGTGAAATGCATATTATTATTATTATTATAATGAACAGCCAAACCGTTTCCCAAAGCCTCGTCCCCCAGCCACAGCCTGTCAGGAGGATACACCAAAAGCAGCTCCTCTTCCACCTCAAGTGGGTACGATTATACCCATGATGCCGAAGCCGCACACATGGCTGCCACTGCCATTCTCAACCTGTCCACCCGCTGCTGGGAGAGGCCTGAAAACCTCAGCACCAGACAGCCAGATCAGGCCAGCAAAGTGAGTTTCTCTCTGTCTGTATCTGGAAAGTTAGGTTCCATAACATCCACATTATATACACTATATTCTAATTAATTTCTTCTACAATCTAGGACATGGACATTGAGGTGGATGAGAATGGCACACTGGACCTCAGCATGAAAAAACCCAATAGGGAAGGAGTCAGGTCACCAGACCCATCTTCATCCTCGTCAACATCTTCTCAACACCATGGCGTCACCTCACCCCACTCCAGCATATATGTATATATATATATATATATATATATGCTAAAATACATACGACGAATCAGTGACATACTAGAGAATATATATATCTTCCATCTTCAATTAAATCTTCTTCCCTCTATTCTTTATTCTACACCAAAAGCAGCTCCTCTTCCACCTCAAGTGGGTACGATTATACCCATGATGCCGAAGCCGCACACATGGCTGCCACTGCCATTCTCAACCTGTCCACCCGCTGCTGGGAGAGGCCTGAAAACCTCAGCACCAGACAGCCAGATCAGGCCAGCAAAGTGAGTTTCTCTCTGTCTGTATCTGGAAAGTTAGGTTCCATAACATCCACATTATATACACTATATTCTAATTAATTTCTTCTACAATCTAGGACATGGACATTGAGGTGGATGAGAATGGCACACTGGACCTCAGCATGAAAAAACCCAATAGGGAAGGAGTCAGGTCACCAGACCCATCTTCATCCTCGTCAACATCTTCTCAACACCATGGCGTCACCTCACCCCACTCCAGCCACACCCACAAACAAGAGGAGTGGGAGGGGCCTCTGGACTACACCAAGTCAAACCAACAGAAAGAGGAGGAGCCAGAGGAGGTAAATGTATATCAATTTGAGATATATACACATAGTCTTACTTCATGGTTAAATCATGGTTGACAGCATTTTGGAATAAACGCCTTACTGTCACAGTTTTGCACCTGTTTTATAATTTTCTGTTGTGATGTGCCATGTCCTCAGGTTGAGTACACCACACACTCATACGCCTCCTCTGATGGAGACGATGATGATGCCACTCAGGGGAGCATGGAGGACAGGAAGTACCCTGGTGAGGTCACAACCTCCAGCTCCAAGGTCAAATTCCAGCCCAAGGACAGCAAGAAAGAGATCTTGCTGTAAGTGTCTGCTGCAACAACTGCCTTATTTAAACATAAAACACATCTGCTAAGCCAATAAAAGAAGTCTGTAAATTTAGTGTCTTGCTAAGGTAAATACATTTCCGGAATGATTCCACAGGGATTTAATACTCTCTCCATCTCCCTCCAGATGTCCCACACCAGGTTGTGATGGCAGTGGACATATAACTGGGAACTATGCATCACACCGCAGGTATGCCAGAAGCTGACACAGTATTTCTAGTCTGACCAGCCCTGCTTGTGGTTTATTTTTTTCTTTATCTGTTTTCCCCTCTGCTGAATCCTTACAGCTTCAGCTGCCTATAGCATAAACCTGTATATTGACTGCAAAGCAAATGTTATATGTCTCTTTAATGCATTTGGCCAACTCATTTACTCACGTCTCTTTGTAGTTAATTTAGGTTACTTTATATTAGTGTGATTTTTAGCACACACACACATCCCCTTGCTGATAAAAGTCTTCGGACCCTCATGGCTGCCCACACTGCTGAACTCAAGTATGTCTGTGCTCTAATTTTTCCTCTAATGACTCCTCACCAAACTTCACCGATTACTGCTTTTATTTGACTTTACTTAATACTGCTGTTTCTGTAAAACACTTTTTACTGTCCCTTTGGCTATTCTTGTACTCTTTGAACCAGTAATCACTTTACATTTTCAGTGGACAAAAATATAATTATCTTGGACTGTGTCCTTGAGATGCATCGAACCAGCTGAGACACATTAAGCATCCAGACTGAAGCCCAAAAGTTTATTTAAACTTCCAGTATGATTGTATGTGTGATATTTGAATTGTATCTTTCTAAAGCAATGCTAAGTTCTTGCTAACAGCATGTCTTTCTCTTTGTGGCCTCCAGATGCCCTACCCCAGGTTGTGATGGATCAGGACACATCACTGGAAACTATGCTTCCCATAGAAGGTATGTTAATTAAGAGATTTTATATTTAATGCATCAACATTCAAGATGCACTTTAGGATTCAGTGTCAAGCTTTGCAACTATTCTTGTATCAAAAATATCAAACTGCTCATGTAGAAAAATAACGTTTGCGTTTTCTCTTTTGCAGTCTGTCTGGATGTCCACGTGCCAAGAAGGGAGGAATCAAAACCACCCCAACTAAGGATGACAAAGAAGATTCTGAGCTCCTAAAGTATGTTTTTTACAAAACAATCTCAACTTTTGCTGTACGAAAACAGTGGATTTATTGAGCACAGCCTGTATCTTTAGAGAATGCCAAAACTGACTGCCAGTTCATCACTTACCTCTCTATAGGTGCCCGGTGCCAGGTTGTGACAGTCTGGGGCATATCAGTGGGAAATATGCCACCCACCGCAGTGCCTATGGGTGCCCACTGGCAGCACGCCGGCAGAAGGAGGGCATGTTAAATGGCACACCATTCTCCTGGAAAGCCTTCAAGGCTGAGGGCCCGACCTGCCCTACGCCAGGATGTGATGGATCAGGACATGCCAATGGCAGTTTTCTCACTCATCGCAGGTACAGACAGGGCCTAGTGAAATTTACAGATAATAAATATTAGTATTATAGTATTAAATAGTCCAGATGTAGGCCAAGCTGTGAGTAAATTAAAACTATGCAGTCACTGTTTCATACAGAGATTATATATATATTTATGCTAGAAATATAACAAAAACTAATTGTCTTGGAAATGCCTTACTAATATGTTTTGAAATATTAGAAATGCCTATTTTTGGCTTTCTGTGGTTATTGAGTGATGATGTAATAAAAACAATAAGCCTAAGGCAAATTTTTTCATATCTTGCTATTTATAATGTGTTTCTACAGTCTATCAGGTTGCCCTAGAGCTTCAGCTTACAAGAAGAGAGCCAGGTTCCCAGGAGATGATTACATCAGCAAGAAATTCAGGGCAAGTGATGGTAAGATCAAATATAATTAGTTTCTCTTCTTTTACCTCCATTGTGTTCATTTTGTGCTCTTCATTAACATATGCATTGTTTTTCTATCCCCTCAGTTCTTGACAATGATGAAGACATAAAACAGCTGAACAAAGAAATCAATGAACTGAATGAGTCGAACTCCGAGATGGAAGCAGACATGGCCAACCTCCATACACAGGTCTGCTTTTAGCAAATACATATACACACTACTATTCAAAACTTTGGGGTTGATAAGATTTTTAAAGGTTGTTTAAAGAAGTCTTTTATGGTCGCCGAAGCTGCATTTATTTGGCCAAAAATACAGTAAAAACATTGATATTGTGAAATATTTTTGCAATCTAAAATTTGAAATACTATTACAGTTTTTATTTGAATATATTTGAAAAATGTCATTCATTCCTGTGATCGCAAAGCTGAATTTTTAGTAACCATTACTCCAGTCTTCAGTGTTACATGATATTTTTGTGGAAACCATGATCATTTTTTTTTTCAGGATTCTTTGATGAATAGAAAGTTCTAGAATAGAAAAAAATTTAAAGCCTTCACTTAATCAATGTATTGCATCCTTGCTGAATAAAATAATTAATTTCCTTCAGAATGAAAAATCTTACTGACCCCAAACTTTTGAACAGTACATGTATCAGAAACTGTAATGAAGACAGATTTGTAACAGTTTCCTTATGGCTGAAATGTGATCTGAGCATATAGCATAAGACCCTTCACTGGTAACTGCTTGTAATAAGATTTTTTTTTTTTGAGGCTCTTACTGTTCATCACTGAAAAACCCTAATTCAAAATAGAATTATTGGTGACTTCTTTCCATAAGAAATATAATGATAATGATAATATTTACAATACTTCAAATACAATATTACAAACGACAGTACCTCATCGACACAAAGGAATACTTCACAGCTTGACCTCGGAGCTGCTGTTTATTCATGCATTTCTATCCCTCAATAGATCTCATCCATGGAGAAGAACCTCAAGAGCATGGAGGAGGAGAATAAGCTCATAGAGGAGAAGAATGACGCTCTGTTCATGGAACTGTCAGGCTTGAGCCAGGCTCTTATCCGCAGCCTTGCCAACATCCATCTACCACAGATGGTCAGTCCGCTTACTATCTATTACCTTTTATGACTACGCCCAACAAGCACAAATATTGTACATTATTTGTACATTATACTTTTATGTAGCTTGCTTTTAACAAACCATTGTCTGTTGTTTACCACAGCAAGAACCCATCACTGAGCAGAATTTTGACACCTACGTGGACACGCTGACCCACATGTTCACCGATAAGGAGTGCTATCAGAACCCAGAGAACCGAGCCCTACTCGAGTCGATCAACCAGGCCGTCAAAGGCATTGAGGTGTGAGCAGAGGAGCGGCAGCTGCAAGACACTGGGGGTTAAATAACCAGACCAACAACATAAAAATGCTGTTTAAGGACATTCAGGTTTTGTATGTGGCGCCCTCTGTAAACGAGGAATGTCACAAGACCCGTGGAAGTCAGAGAAAAGGACCAAATTCCAATTCCAAATTATGCTGCTTAGCAATTTTGATTAGATACAAGATCCTCTTAAACCAAGCTGGCTCTTCTTGATTTGGGGTATTTTTTTTGGAGCAAACCATTTGTTACTGTTTTCTAGAGCAACTCTCACCGACACTGATCTGCCTTTCTTACTTCCCTCAGTGCATGGAGGTTGCCGTGAACAATAAGTCGTGAGATTGTCGTGTGTCTGTGGAGGAGAGTCTATGTGTGTATGCGTAACAGAGTGTTTTATGTGTAACGTCCGAAGGTGAATTCACAATTAATGACCTCCCTCGACAAAATATGATTAGTATGCAGCACTGCTACATTTGATCCCTGTTTGATAATGTTGTCTCATATTTGGTGTAAATGCACTCCCGTTCCATTCAGTAATATTTATCGTATTTGAGAACATAGATATTGCACTTCCATGAATAGTTTGTAGTTCCATCGTCATGTTATTATTGTAATTATTATTATTAATATTATGGCTATTTAAATTGGGTCCTTGAAATGTACATTTAATTTATTATTTATTCATGTTAAGGGTTATTTTGTTTATGTATTAATCAGTGTCTATTTATGGACTTAATTTATTTCACAAAGCAAAATTCTATACACAGCTTTTAAACAGTTATTAAGAGGAGAGACGTTGCCATCTGCGTTGTGAAAGAGGCAATATTTTAAGAATATCGACAGCAAATTGTTTTATAAACCTTCCTATTTATTTTAAAGACAGAGATTTATAATCTCTTTTTTAAGTGCAAATATTTTCTACCTAACAATTTTTATATCGTTTTTTTTTTATATTCTTCTTTATTTAATGAGTTCTGTTTTCCATAAAAGTATTTTGACACCCTCCAGAGTGAAGTGGGTTGAACAGATATGATGTATTTATTGTTATTTATTTAGTATTTAAGAACAAATTGAATGGAGATCTTGTTGCATATTTATTTTGTAAATGTCTCTGTGTTAGTGGTTGCTGCATATGGATAGTCTTTGCCCATGTTGTTGATAAAATAAATGGGAATTCTATCACCTACAACAGAGAGTATGTCATATTTAATATTGATGGTTTCTATTAAGTTATTATTACTGCACATTTACAAGCTTGTAATTGCCCTTGATTCAACAGTGGTATTTTGTGAGACATTGGTCAGTCCCAATAATTCTGGATTCTCTGGCATTTGTTAGACCAAAGATAAAATATAAACCAAACACTCTGTCAGTAGGATACTTGGATGACATCTGCTGGATGCAAAATTCATCATGATTAATCATTCAGCTGATTAAGTCTACATGAAACATAAGGGATGTATTTGTATTTTGTCAAGATCAATATTAAGCCCAATATTGATACAATTATTGATAATAAAACCCCAAATATTGTTTAAAAACCCTTAAAACAACAACAACATTTTGAAATTGTGCATAGAGCTGATTTTCTCTAGATTTGAAATGGTCAAATTTTAAAAGAGACCAGAGCTAGCTGTCACGTCTTTTTTAATGTTATAGATTTATTTTACTGTCTACACGTCGCTGGAAAACCACAGGCTGTTTAATGGCAGGCTCCTTTGTGACAACTTACCCCATAAGGTGTGACATATGCCCTGCTACTGGTCAACAATCTTTTCTTTTGTGCAGTAACGGTGGAAGTGTTCTATATAGGCCCTATATATAAAATATATGTGCCCATACAATATTTAAACAGAATTAACTGCTTTGAGAATTACTCACCGGAGTAAAAAAAAAAAAAAAGAAATGACTATTTACGTTTTTCCTATCCTTATCAACACCAGAGACCGCTGTGTTTATGAATATATCATAAAATAATGCAGTGCAGGAGCAGGACCCATGTGCTTCATGGCCCATATTTCTGTTTGTGTGCGTGACGTCACCGAGTCAGCTGGCCAATGTTTACATCCAGCGCTGCTCGCCGCGAACGTTTATAGGAAGAAACCGAGAGATTGAAACAACAGAAGACAGTTAACCGAATGGCCAGCATCAACAGACCATAATCAGGGTGTTTCAGGGTGTCAGACGATTCAGCTCGGTCGACCGTGAAGTTGTCGTCGGGGTGTTTCCCGTGACGAGTTTCTCCCCAAAACACCTCCATCCCGATTTTTCCTGTCTTTGTCTTCATTTGCGTCTACTTTTTGCAGGTAAGCGCATTATATGAGTCGTGCTCGCTGTTATATAGTATAATACTGGAGTGATAATAGAATTATAAACTCTTGGTTAGTGCATTTTCACTGAGCCTAATCTGTAGTTTAGCGTGCAGAATGAACGGCAGGTCGTGAGGATTAAAAATAATGGGCTTGTGTGTTATTTCATAGTTAACTGTATTTGAGAAACTACCCGGATGTTCAACAAAACACTGCACAGTATGCGTTTGTTAGCGAATGGCGCAGCTGCATTTGAGCGCGCGGTGATTGGTGGGAGCATTTTTCACATCTGCAGTTTCTACACAGCGTCTCCGGGGAAGCTTTAACTTTCCAGCAGCGCAGCCCAGCGCCACCATCCGTTAACTGGACAAACATGCTGTTTTGTTAGGCCCAAAGCATGTACAGTAGCCCTGTTAAGACATACTTAATATGTATGTGCCATTGCATCAGATAACAAAATATCAAATACAGTGGCATTTAAAGAAATACAACACTAACACAATTCTTAAGCAACATACTCCTCAAAAAGAAGTCTTACACTTATGAACATAATATATAGTTTTCAGAATGATTACAAAATGTATTTGGACAAATTCTGGTTGTCAAACAATAGTTTAATGCCCTGGTGTATAAACATATATGCAATCCTTCAATTTTTAGAGAAGTGGTTATCAACAGGTGGGTCACAATCCAAAATGATGTCTGGGACAACAATGCATAATGCATTATATACAAACACTAATAAAATGTAACTAATATGATCGTGCATAGTTAGGATAATGAAATAACCCAAATAAACAACATTACCACAATTTGTCAACCTTAATTATTGCCTGGCAAGATGTTTAGGGTCAGTAAGATTTTTTTTTTGTAGTAAATTAATACTTTTATTAGGCAAAGATGGACAAATAATTGATCATAAGTGTCAGTAAAGACATTCACATTACAAAAGATTTCTGTTTCACAGGAATTTCTATTCATCAAAAAAAACTACAGTTGTTTTCAACATTCATAATAATAAGACATTTTTATTGAGCACCAAATCAGCATTTCAGAATGAGTTCTAGAGGATCATGTGACACTGAAGACTGGGGTAATCATGCTGAAAATTCAGCTTTGCCATTACAGAAATAAATTACATTTTAAAATATATTCAAATAAAAATAGTTATTTTAAATTGTAGTAATATTTCACAATATTACTGTTTTACTGAATTTTGATCAAAGAAATTAGCCTTGGTAAGCATAAAAGACATTAAAGTAAGCATATCAAGAATATTACAAAATATTACTGACCCCACTTCTGAACTGTAGTGTAAAAATAATATCAGCAAACTTAATTTGTAAATCTTCTTATTCGGCCTATGTCAAGTTAATAATTTTGCATATTATTTAGTCTAATCATTTCATTGTAATATTAATAAATTTCAGTTTGTTTTAATGACAGGTTTATTTACATTTCCTATATGTTACTCAATCCTGGTGCTGTGTTGGGGTGTCACTTTCCTGAAGCAAAACCAGTTAAGAACCATTGTTATAGCAAGAAACAAAAAAGGAAAGTGGTTGTTTATCAGTTCAACTTTTTTTAAGGCCCATATCAACAGGAAGTATGTTTCCAGTTTTTTGTATTTGGCTACGTGCACACTTACATGTCTTTAATTTTCTTCTCTTCTGTTTTGCCCTTAACAGAGCTAAAATGGGAGGTGCGGTCAGTGCCGGGGAGGACAATGACGAGTTGATTGACAACCTGAAGGAGGCCCAGTACATTCGCTCGGATCTGGTTGAACATGCCTTCAGGGCCATTGATCGTGCTGACTACTATCTGGAAGAATTCCGTGACAGTGCCTACAAGGATCTGGCCTGGAGACATGGCAACATCCACCTCTCTGCACCCTGCATTTACTCTGAGGTGATGGAGGCTCTAGACCTGCAGCCTGGCTTGTCCTTTCTTAACCTGGGCAGTGGCACAGGCTACCTCAGCACCATGGTGGGACTTATACTGGGTGAGTTTATAGAGAATATAAAGGCTTTGATTTTGTTCTTCTTATTTTAGACAAATTTAAACAAATAGCCCACCCAAACATGAAAATTCTGTCATCATTTACTCACCCGCATGTCATTCCAAACCTATATGACTTACTTTCTTCTTGGGAACACAAAATAAGTCATTTTGAAGAGGGTTGGTAACTGAACTGTTTCTTTTCCCATTGACTAACATTGTGTTCTTTTTTCATACAATGGAAGTCAATGAGAACGGAAACTGTTTGGTTACCAACATTCTTCAAAATATAAATATCTTCTTTTGTGTTCCGGAAAAGAAAAAAAGTCATGCAGGTTTGGAACGACATAAGGGTGAGTAAATGATTACAGAATTTTCATTGCGTTTGTGTTATTAACTTTGAACCGTTTTTCTCAGTACATTTTCTGCATATGCCATAATATATATTATATATGTATAATATATGTGATCAGTGACGTCATATCTCCAGGGCCATTTGGTGTAAATCATGGTGTGGAATTGCATGAAGATGTTATAGAATATGCTTATCAGAAGCTGGACTTCTTCATCAAGACAAATGATAGTTTTGACAGGTATAGTAACTTTTGGGATTTTACTTTTGAATTAAAATAAACTCATTCCCTTGTTGAAAGTGTAATGTGAAAACGAAGTGACTGACATTGTTAATATTTTTGGTCTAGGTTTGAGTTCTGTGAGCCTTCATTTGTGGTGGGCAACTGTCTGGAGATTGCCCCAGAAAGCAGGCAGTATGACAGGGTTTACTGTGGCGCAGGGGTCCAGAGGGAACATGAAGAATAC